CCTCCCTTCGCTGCCCCGGGGTGCTGGGGTCGCGGGCTGTGGCATGCCCGGGGCAGGCTGGACCAAGACCCAGAGTGTGAGTGTTGTGCCTGGCCTTGGCAAACTCTTCTCTGCCCTCCAGTGCGTGCTCGACACGTCTTTGGAGTCGTTCCTTGCATTTTCCTCGTCTCTCCAAGATGGTGCTCCGAGGGTCTGGGAAGGCTCTGTCACAGAGCTGATAGCCAGCTCCTGTCTCGGGCTGGGCTGACCGGCGAGGCCTTGTCCTCTGCGGCTGCCTCCTCTGCTGCTGCTGCGTGGGGTTCGCTGCGTGGCCTTACCGCAGGCTGACCGAGGGGCTGTGGGCAGGCATTACTCTGTGTATGTTCTTCAGAAGCAAAGGATTGTAAAAGTAGCCTAGGGAGAGCTCTAGCGTGTAGATAAAAGCCAGGAGCAAGTTCTCCACAGAGTGGAAGGGAAGGAAACCTGGCCTTCGTATCTTACAGTGCAGCTGAAAATTAGAGGGTAGATGAGTAAAGCATGCTTGAAAAGTTTTGGTGGCCGAAATCGCATCTGTTAGGCGAACGTGTATACTGCTTGCCCTCAGAAGTCCTCCCTGATTCAGCTTAGCAGCGTCTTGAACTAATGGAATAGGTAATTCACATCTGAGCAATAAAATTCTCAATTAAAAGGAGAGGGGTGAGCAGTAGTGTTAACCGAGTGCCGAAAGTCCACCCTGAGAGCTAAGGTGAAGTTTATTCTTAGCACTGGAGCTGCTGTGCAGATGGAGGCACTTGGTCCTTATCAAAAGCGTGAGTCAGCAGCGTGCATCTTGCTGTTGGGAGAGGTGGAGCTGCAGGGAGGGTGCTGGCTCCACAAGCCACACCAGTGCAGGAGAGCACTTTTATATCCTGTAAGGTTTAAGGAGCAGTAGGTTTTAAACTAACAGTACTAAATGCTTACAATGGTTATTTAAAACTTTGTGTAAATGCGATTCTTCAGTAAGCATGACCTGACTGAGAGCAGACATGGCAGCTGCTTCTCTGAAATGCTTTCTGATCAATTCTGTTGCAGTCGGCGCTGAAGAAGAAACTGATGGAGCTGCATAACCAGAGCGAGAAAGCTGCTCGAGCGATGAACACTGTGAAAACCAACCAAAGCCGAGCTGCTGTAAGTGGGTGACTGTTCAAAGCGCGGTCAGGTTCCTTGGCATACGCTGGCTGCTGCGTGTTGTTGATGCCTGTACTCTTCTGACAATGGCTGTAGTATTGAGACTGCGTTGGCAGGAGAAGACGTTATTGGGAGGGAAGAGAAAAGAGGCGTTTTGGCAGAGCCAGGCAGCTCCCTGGGAGACAGGAGTAAACCAGCCACTGTGCAAGGGTTTTATACCTGCGTGTGCTGATACGACTGACCTGAAACGGGGCTCAAACCTGTCCTTTCCTGTTGTACCAGTAAGCGCATCTCTGTGCAGCCCAAGCTGAAGGCTTAGGGAGCTGTAACGGCTGCACCAGTGCAGAGAGCTGGGATGGCTCTTCCCTGTAAACTAGCAGAACTAGTCCTTGCTTTTAGCTGGTGATCGGGGTTGCTGTTTGTGCCGATGGCGGGATTGGGTACGTCTCACTTGTACCATGCTTTCTGAACCGAGTGGCAGAGACCAAGAAACTGAAAAGCTGCCAGGGTAGCACTTCTTCACTCCTCTGGAACATCTGTTGGAGGATCAGGAATTACCCAGAGATGCCACATTTCAGAGGCAGAAACAGCAACTGGCCTGATTTCTGGGGAGTAAATGATTTTTCTTTCCAAACTACACAGACATGCATAGCTTTTCTATTGTCCGTTTCAAGTAATTGAAGCCTACGTGTTCCTCAAAGCCTTGGGTTCTTCTTGTAGTCATAGTAAGCAGTACTTTGTTTACAAACTGTCATTTTGAAACCAGTGTCTGTCTGTTCTTGTCTGCTCCAGGAGACAGCTTCCAGAAAGAAAGATTTGATCAGAAGTGAGTTTTCAGAAATTAAAGCTTTAATTGAAGAAAGAGAAAATGAGACCTTAAAAATAATTGCAGAGGAAGAAAAAAGAGTTTGCAATAAGTTTGATTATATTCACGGTATTCTGGGAGGTAAGAAGAATGAAATCCAGTCTCTCAAAGATCAGATTGAGATGGCGCTGACTGAAGGTGATGACATCCTGTTTTTGAAGGTAATATGTCATTTAGATGCGAATCCAATTCTTTGTGTTTTTAGAATGCAGAATCACAAAAACCTGTTGTGGTAGCCCTGCTCTCCAGACACTTTCAGTCAAACAATAATGTAGTCGTGTGCAAGAACCTGCTATAAAAGGATGTACTGATAAGTACACAGATATCAACGGAAGAGTGCTGGAATGAAGTGGTGTCTGGTAACTCCCCCCCCCCCCCCAATCCACCCCCTGCCCCAAGCGGGGGGGCAGGACGGGAGAAAGCGGAGGGGCCAGCGAGTGAGACAATTCATCTTCATGAGGTGTTGCAGCTCTGTGTTGTGACACTGTCCCGTAGATCTTTCTTGCTGCTTCAGAAATCAGTTGAGGATTAATGCATCTGGATTGCTGCTGAAATTTTGCCGTGGGTCGTGTCTGACTGTAGCCTTTGCTCCTTTGAATGTGTGATGAATGCACAAACCCCACCCCATTTGAAGTAACTTGGTTGTATTTTTCCTGTCTGCTACACAAGGTGGTCTGCATGAGATCTTCTGTTTCTCATTTCAGAGAGCAGCAGCACTGCAACGAAAGTCAACAAAAGACACTTTCATCCCTGTAATTGAAATGGACCAAAACTTGATACATTCCACTTACCAGTCTGCCATTAACCTTAAAGACATTGTGAAACTTTCGGTGTCTCAGTGTAGCGAGAAAAAAGCAGAAGGTACTGTATCACTGGGAGAACTGGCATTTTCTGCCTTGACTTTCAGTTCAAATGAGGCACCTTCCCCCTCCAAATATCATTTAAAAAAAAAATATTGAAGCAAATACAGCTGGCTAATATAAATTGTCTCCCAACTTCTGTGGTCCTCTGTTTACAAACAAAAATGCTCCAGTCTGGGCTAAACTAGGAGGAGAAAGTGTCCTGGTGTCTCTTTACTTTTATCTATACTTCGATAAGCTGATGAGTATCGTGATAATATGCCCTTCTGGCACAGCTTAGCCTTTATTTCTTACAGTAATTTATGTTTTTATTATGTAGCAGGGTTTGATGCACTTAGGATGTGGGTTTGAGGGGAGACATAAAACACTTTTGAGTGATAGGACTATGGTTACCCAACTGTAAAGGTGCTGATCGTGTAGGTGTAACCCTACTTACTGGGTTAAGCAAAAGTGTCTTTTGGACTGGGGCCTGGGTATCTTCTATGCAGTTCCCATCTCTGCTGAGTGTCACTTAAGTTCTGTTCACATGACTGAAAAATAAGATTGAAAAATGTCTTTGCTCATGCATTACTGTTCCTGGCAATGCAAACCATAATGTAAACTATTGCCATTGCAGCAAAACAAACACCTGGGAAAACCAAGGCCCCTCCAGCGGCTTCTACAAACAAAACCCTTGCTGGGAAAAAGGCCCCGGGACCACGTAAGTACTGAAGAACATTGTCCTGTTCTAACTGTGGTTTTACCATTACAGAAGAATTCAAGCAGTTACCCAAGAGCCGCTGGCTCTAGCGGTGATGGGGTGGTTATCTGTAGTGAGCACTCTGGCGCGGGAAGGGGAGGGCATTTTGGGCTGTTCAGCGATGGATGCCTTGGGAGCTGCGGAGCAGCAGACTGCCCAGGTATAACGGTGCGTTACCCTCAGCGTGCCCCTGTAGTGGTGTTGGTGCAGGCTGCAGAGCAAAGCAGAGCCTCCCCACCCTCTGGTTCTTGCGGGGTTTTTTTCATTTGTACTAAACATCTGTTGGGTTGTTTGATGGATTTGTGTGATTGAATCCTGCTTATGAGCTGTTCATGTTCTGTTTTTTTTGCTTTCCCCCCTCACAAGAGCATACCCGCAAAGAGAAAATCCTTCAGCAGGCTCAAGCCCCTTTGCAGCTGGAAGCAGATACCGGTAAGTGGTGATTAACAGCAGCTTTCCTCAACATTTTGCTGGCCATGTCTTGCTTACAGTGTATGGCTGGGGTGATGGAGACAGTCTGGGGCCTTTCAGTGTTCTTTTGTCCAGATACTGGTATTAATGCATCACTCTAGCCTGCTGGGAAGATCTTCCATATTCTCTTTTTGAAGTAAATCCAAGTGTTAACAAACTACTTGTGTTACTTCCACCGAGCTCTTGACACGTGGTCCTTTCCATTCACAAGTCCTGGGTGTGGAGCACTCAGCAGGGTCTGTGGTGGGTTGCTGGAGTGGAGTGAACTTGTAGCTCCTGTTGCTGCAATAGAAGATCTGTTGGAAAAAGAAAAGGAATAGTCTATGTAAGTGCCTCATGGGAGCAGGCTTATTACCACTTGCCCTGACATGCTGCATCCTGGAGCAGAGATGAAGTTCCTTCCAGGCTTATGACCCTGTGAAATGGGAAGCAAACAGTATGTTGTGCTTCATGTGTAGCTTTCCAGTACGGGTGTGTCTGTATATAGCTTCAACACCCTGGACTGTCAGCTTTACCTACTGCTGCAGCTTCAGAAGAGCCATGATGAGGGCGTTTAGAAGTGGCATAGTCTACCAGTGGGTTTTCAGTCTCAGTAGAACTTGGAGCTCACTTTATTTTTTTTTTTCTTTCCCCCTCCAGAGGAGAAAAAGAAACCTGTTGAAGTTGGTGAGTCCAAACTTTCAGCACACTTATTCTAATTTTCATTGACTGCTCTTAAAATGGTGAGTAGGTGGTCATTAGTGTTGATGTATTAAGCAGAAGTTCAACTCTTGCTCTGAGAAGGCTCTTACTAGTCCCTGGGAGAGCGATCAAGTGCTGAAAGAGGTTGCCTAGAGACAACAGGGGATTTTCAAAACTTGACAAGACTGTGAGCAACCCAAGCTAATACTGAAATTAACCCTGTGTGGAGCAGGAGGCTAAACCAGATAACCTCCTGAGGTCCACTCCAACCCCAGGGTGTCTGTGGCTGTGTGTTAAGCATGCGGGGTTTCCTCCCGACTGGCTAAACTCTCTTTTCTTCTGTCGACACAGCACCACCCACGGGACCACTAAATGCTGCAGCTGCCATGACAGTTAAAGAGCTTATCAACAACTTTCTGAAGAAATCCAGAGAGGAGCTTTTGCAGTGTAAGACACACAAAGTTACACTACTTGAAGATGAACTTTCTGCACTTACTGCACTGGTGTTTTGTGCCCTCTGTAGTTACCTGACAAAAATACTCTTGAGGAGGTTTAGTTAGCTTAGTAGGTTATCAGCCAGTTGTTACAAATGAAGGAAATTTTTAGAGGAAAGGGGGGCAGGAGGTTTCTAAGTGGCTCTTTTGCCAGAGGAATAAAATTTCTCTTCAGTATTCATGTATCTTTATGAAGGTAAATGAAGTTTTCTCAGTAATAGCTTTGGTGTCGCCTAAAATGACTGTATTAGGGTAGCCTGGAAATACACTGTAACACACTGGATTTTTCTTTGAAATGAAAAGCAAGGCTTTTACGTGAGCCCATGATGGGTTGCTTAAGATGCTATACCAGACGGTATACAATATGGTATACCTTTCACTGCCAGATCAGCAATCCCCTTCTTCTGCCAGCATGTATTTGGGTGGTGAAGGAATTCCATGGGGATGAAGGAAGGAGACTTGCCCTCCATTTGCCTGCTGTGTACGGTCCTGCAGCTGAACCCAGCAGCTATGGCTGTGGCCCTAAGAACTGCCTGCCCTGTGGAGGAGAGCAGAGCAGGGAGATAAACACGCACAGGAACAAGTGCTTAGGCAGGACGATATAAATAAAAACGCTTTGCTCTTCAGTACCCTCAGATGATTCATGTCATTGCAGATGCTGCGAACATCACGCTGGATTACAACACAGCTCATAACAAAGTGATTCTGTCTGAGAGATACACCAGGATGTCTGTCTCAGACACCTCCCTGAATTATAACCACCACCCTCAGCGCTTCACTGATTGTTCCCAAGTGCTGGGGTTCCAGTGCTTCAAGAGGGGCATCCACTACTGGGAAGTGGAACTGCAGCAGAACAACTTCTGTGGTATTGGCATCTGCTACGGCAGCATGGAACGGCAGGGGCCAGAGAGCCGCCTGGGCAGGAACAGCAGCTCTTGGTGTATTGAGTGGTTTAATTCCAAAATATCATCCTGGCATAATGATGTTGAAAAGTGCTTACCCAATGTGAAGACTACCAAGATTGGTGTGCTGCTCCACTGCGAGGCAGGGTTTGTGATTTTCATGGCTGTTGGGGAGAAGCATAACTTGATCTATAAATTCAAAACTCAGTTTACTGAAGCCTTGTACCCTGCCTTCTGGTTATTTTCCAGTGGCACTGTTCTCTCTCTCTGCCAAATGAAACAGTAAGGTCTCTTATCTTCATTTACTTTGCCTAAGTACTGACATGCAGATAGTCAGTCCTGCAGTAACTCTTTTTATGTTTTGGTCTTAAGAAGTCTCAAAGTTTGTTTCAGATGAAAATTATTAGCTCTTTTAAGCAGTTCGGGAAATCTGCTGATTCTTTGGTCTGAATTGCTAAAGCCTTTACATAGTGATTTAGTAAAATGTTGATGATAGTAAAAACTATGATGAACGGTTTTTGCAGAGACCTTGATTGTCCTTCTAAAAGCAAAGTTATGATACGAACCATAGTTAGATGTCTTCAGTAGCTGCTGTGGCTTCTGTGGTTTGCTGTAAAGGATCCCCAGAATTAATTTTCAGGTCTAAATGTGTTTCACAGTAGCATTAACCCCTTTGAGAAAGAAACAGGAAGAATTCCCTGACAAACTCGGGTTCCAGGCTTTGAGGTAGGTCTCAGCATTGCCTTTTTCTCTATACACAGACTGTTGTCTGTAGTCAGGATTTGCAATACACGTGTTCTCAGTGTATGACTCCATGAGATGATACAGAATGAACTATTAAAATCAGTAAGTTCAGGTCTTACAATGCTAAGTTGTAAAAGCCAGTATGACAAATCTCATCAGAATGGAAATGCAGAGACTTTTAGAGTTGGTGGATAAGAAACGGTGTCAGAATCACCAGGAAATAAATGACATCGACTCAAAAACTGGGAATATAGCCAGAGAGTCCACAGGAAATAGTGTGCACCCTGTGATAATATAGCTTGTGGGATGAAGCATTCTGTCTCATGTTCTGACCCAGAACATGCTTCATGTTTTCACAGTGGAGGCTCTTCAGTGTTTTTTTGTGTGCTGAGCAGTTCAAGGAGTGCATTTTTGGCTTGCATAGGGAGCATGAATGTGCTGTTCACTTAAAGCAGGGTCTCTCATCATAAAGCTTTTCCTCTTTGTGAGGTGGGATGTTCTCTGCTGGTGTATCTTCAGTTCCTTAGGTGGTAGAAACTAGATTTCCTACATATTATTTGGACTCTGATTTGAGGAGTCTCAAGACTCTGCACAGTACCTAGAAAATGCTGGATCCTCTCTGCATGAAGCGTGCGGGCAGACAGGTGAGTCTTTTGAAACACACAGGGAATTAGCACAAAGGAGACTATATGTCCATTCCCACTGGGATGGATTTTTAATTCTCCTGGTGTTCTTTGCTTTGGGTTGTGGTATGTCTTCAGAAGTCCTCACCATGAGCAGAGGAATCTGTACTTCTGCATTTCTATTTACAATTTTAAAACAATCAGTAGGCATCTGAGGTATCTGGATCTCCTAATTATTGGGCCTGTATCTTATTGATGCCTCTGGACTTACTATGCTAGCTCTTATGTCTTGTAGCCCGTGAAGAACAGGGAAGCTCATACGAGAGACTTTCTGGACTTTGATTTGTAAAAATCCCCTTTATGGGACCTGGTGAAATCAAACACAAAGCTACTACTGCTGGCAGTTTGGAAGGGAATTGTTAGAAGGCTCAGAGGAACCTCTGTGACTACATTTCACATTAGCAAAGTGCTGTAGAGAGAGACTTGCAGGAATTCGGGCTTGGTGTCTCTAGGTGTTCAAAAAACATGTAGATGTGGCACTTCAGGACATGGTTTAGCAGGCATGGTGGTGTTGGGTTGACAGTTGGACTTGATGATCTGAAAGATCTTTTTCCAATCTTAATGACTCAATGATTTTTACTTGGTTTGTAAACTCAAAGGACTTTGTCAAGGATAGCATTTGGCCAGAACAGGATATGGAATTGATGGTGGACCTAAAAGTGCCATGGCTGTCTTTGGAGTAGTTGTACTATCTCAAGGGTCTCAGCTTTCCAAAGCACAGTCGGTGCTAAGACTACCAAACTAAGCAGAACACTTCAAAAGGCTCGGAAGGAGGATGTGTCCCACTAGGAGCCAGCAACAAATGCAAAACTTTCTTTTTCTGCACTTCCAGTTTTTCAGCAGTGAGGGACGAGAGCAGTTTCCTCTGAGAAATCCAGTCCCTTTGGCTGCTTGGCTGTGCCACAGGGCTGCGGATCCCTGCAGCAGGGTGCCGAGGGAGTACTCTGTGCTCTTGCTCATGGGGAAAAATTTGCTCTGGTGGTTTGTGCAGTGGAGAAAGTCCACATTTTCTATTGCTTGCTTCTTGACTTTAAAGGGGTGTGAATATTATCCTCAAAGTTTTTGGGCTTCTTTAACCGTAGTCTGGAGTGATACTCAAGGAAAGTAAAGAAGAGCCTTTGTTCTGCCACGTTGGGCAAGGTGGGATCCTTTATATGTGACATTGGTGTATGACCGACAGTATGTAACACATAAAGTGTTCTGGATTACCACCTGCAATGAAACAAGCCTGCTGCTGTATTCCTGAGTCTTTTCTTTCTTTGTTTTCTTTGTGCTATGAATGAATAGAAATGATAGACCGAGGTTCTGTTAATTTGGAATGAAATGAGAAATGCATAACTGAATTGCAGCACTTCTGAAAACTGGTATTTTGGTTAGCTTCAGATATCCTGGATATATCGAAACATTGGGGTGATACAACATTAGAAAAAAAAATTAGTTACAGCATGATAAGTAATGGTTCGAAAGCCTCTTCAGCACAACTGATGTGTTTTTACTTGGGCAGTAACTATCAAAGCTGTACTGCTTTTAAACAGGATGACATCGCTACTAGGATGGTGAGGGGACTGGAGCATCTCTCCTATGAGGAAGGGCTGAGGGAGCTGGGCTTGTTCAGCCTGGAGAAGAGAAGGCTGAGAGGGGACCTCATAAATGCTTATAAATATCTCAAGGGTGGGTGTCAGGAGGATGGGGCCAGACTCTTTTCAGTGGTGCCCAGCGACAGGACAAGGAGCAATGGGCACAAACTGAAGCACAGGAAGTTCCGCCTGAACATGAGGAAGAACTTCTTCCCTCTGAGGGTGATGGAGCCCTGGCACAGGCTGCCCAGGGAGGTTGTGGAGTCTCCTTCTCTGGAGATATTCAAGACCTGGCTAGATGCGGTGCTGTGCAGCCTGCTCTGGGTGACCTTGCTTTGGCAGGGGGGTTGGACTGGGTGACCCACAGAGGTCCCTTCCAACCCCGAACATTCTGTGATTCTGTGAAGATGTAGATACAAGCATATGTTTTAATTATACTTCTCTTTTTAATACTATAAAGAACTCAACTTATCCAGTCTAGAAAAAGAACTAATTCTGGTGCTGTTAAAGCTCTGAGGATGTGGAATGATTTGCATGTTAATGTACAAGTGAGAGTAAACAGAGAAACACCTGCCCACTGAAAACACGATAATCTGTTTAAATTTAACCTTTTCTTCAGTGAAACACATCAGTAAAATACTGCAGTTAGAAAAATATATGCTTATGTAATTGTAAACCTGTTGATTGTACTGATATATCAGCCATATACTTCACTATCTATACTATGTTATTTCATATAGATGTGCCAGCTAGACATCTTTGTCAGGGCAACAGACATAGATTTTATGCCATCTGTTTTAGGACTGTGCCTGTGACTGTTTTAGAAGCTGACTGTTCTTGATCTCTTCAGCTGTAAATGAATTCTGATATTCTGAATTCAATAAATATTCATGGTAAACCCTAACTCTAAATGCTTTGTTCTGTGCTCAAAGCTGAAGCAAGCAGCAAGGAAGAAATAAGGATGCTATAGTGTACAAATAACAGGTCTTCTAGTCCATAACTCACTGAGTTCTATGAGAACTGGGGAAGGGAGAAAGGAAGGAGAGCTGTAGCCGTTGGAGTGTCAAATGCCATCCTAAACTAGCATCTCCTTCACCTGAGCTACACACCCATTACCAGTAACGCTGCATCCTATCCCGTAAATGAAACTGGAGCCTTTTCGGCTAAGCGAAAACATGGTCATCAGCTGGAGGAAGACGAATGACTAGGGACTCAGTATGTGCAACGGGCTTGCTTAAAAGAGGCCTTCAGTGATGTCCAGCATCTGTTACCTGAAGTTATGTCTGGAAGCAGTGATGGGTTTGATTCCTAATATTACTCAGTGAAATCAAACTAAAGGGCTTGTGGTTTGCAAGCTGCTGCCTCCCCGCGCGGCCAGTGGGCTCAAGGGGGAGCTGCTCTGGGGCCTCCACAGAGGTTTTTAAATTAGCCAAAATGAAGGCACCCACAAACCAAGTTACAAATTGACTTTTCCACTTAAAGTTCTTCAAGGGAGTTAGGATGATCAAGGCTTTGGGGAACAAACTCTCTGAAGAGTTCCCAGAGAGTCAGACAATGGTCTTGCTTGCTCAGCAGTGGCAGGTAGTACAAAAACTGGGCGGGGGGGAATCCTCATCTTTACCAACTACTTGTCCCATGATGTCCGTGGGACTACGAGGTCAGTTAGGTCTGCCAGAGTTTGGAAGTTTTGAGCCTGCGTAAACTTTACTGTGGCTACAGCCTGGGGCTTGAGCAGGTGCTGAAACCCCAGAAGTCAGCACACTCATTACCCATACAAGGTCTGTTTTCTTACTTGCTAATGTAATTTCCTCTTGGTTTAGCTTTGCGATCATTTTGTCAGAGCAAAAGGAAGAACAGACTTGGACTCCAAATCATATTCTCTGGGAACATACATGAAAATGTTTATCAGGATGTTTCCTAATACTTGTTTCCCTTCCTAAAATAAAATTGTATTTGGCTAGTGTTTAACAGACTATGTTTCTATACCCAGTTCTCTGACTCCCTCCCATCTCTCCCCCCC